AATATCTTGAACTTATCGTGGTATAAACCCCCCTACCCTGCACCCTTACCAAAGGGGATGCATAATAATTCAACTTTCAACCCTTGCTAGTGGGGATATTTGAATCACTGTGAGATTGTAGCGCTTTCTAATATACTTTTGAAATTAAAAAATTGTTTCACTTCAGTTCAGTTTCACCCCCCTCCCCCCTCCCCCGCGTGGTAGAAATAGATATTTAAACGCTCTTGTGGCGATTGTGAAGTTAGTCAGAGAGTACAACGCTTATTATATATTATGTGTTCTATTCCTCTTTAAATATCTATTCCTACCGCGGATGGGGGGGCGTGGGAGGGGGGATGAAGGATTTTAAGGATGAAGCTGAACTGAAGTGAGATAATTTTTTTGTTTCAAAGGTATATTAGAAAGCCCTACAATCTCACAGTGATTCAAATATCCCCACTAGCAAGGGTTGAAAGTTGAATTATTATGCATCCCCTTTGGTAAGGGTGCAGCGTAGGGGATTTATACCACGATAAGTTCAAGATATTTTCTCATAAAACTCTTAATTATAGAGATAAAGTATAAAATTTGGTTAAAACATCTACATAGAAATTTCAGACTTCTTAAAAATATAAGCAACTCTGAAGCTCTATACCGTTTTTAATAAACATTTCACAAAAAAGTAGTGTATATGAAAGTTGTGTAGAATTTTATAGTCTACAATTTCTGATAACAATATTTTTTTGTAAAATGAATCTATAAAAAGATATGATTGAAAAACTAAAAAACCAACCAAATTTCTTTGGTTTTAAGGGTGGTACGGGGGAAGCACAGGGGGTGGGAGGTCGAAAACTTGGATTCTTAACCACCAGATATTCTTTCATGACATGCAAAAAAAAATTGGAACTACTTCTCGTTTTGCAGGAAATGGTCCATTTTCAGTCTCTATTTCCTGGACTAAAACCAAAGTATTTATACAATTTTGGTAACATTTGAGAGATGACGAATTGGAATTAAGGTAAATAAGACTCGAAATGCAAAGGTTTTAGCATCTTAACTCCTCAAGTAAGTATTCATACGATTTTGATACGGAGAAATCCCTTTCACCAAGGTCACGACTTTTTAGTCAGGGAAAATCTCAGGGTCAGGGTACGACCTTGCACCAAAAAACAAGGTTACTCCTTTGTTATATAATCGGGAAATCCCAGACCACGACATTAGTCTTCCCTTCGCCAAGGCCGCTACCCAAATCTAGGGAGAAAAGATATCCCAACGGGGGGAAATAGTGTCTTCTGAGACTTGATCGAAAAGAATAGCTTCCTGTTCCCGTTCAGTTTCTGTCGCTGTCTCTCTTCCCGTTCCCCTTTCTTCTTAATATTTCCACACTTTCTTGGGGGAGTCTCTTTTCCTGTTCCTAACCTCTTTTTCGTTAATTAAATTTTCCGTAACGTGACTCAAATGTTGCCATAATTAATTAAATTTAAACAAAGACCATTAAACCTGCAATGACAACCGTCAACTATAAAAATAATTTCGGTTTCTTCTAGCTAAAACCGGACCTGTTCTCTTAATTACATTTTAATCAAAAAAGTGTCTCGAATGAATTTATTAATTACTTAAAATTGAACAAAGAATAAACGACTAACCCTCGCAATTACAACTCTCAACAACTGAATTCAATATGGGCATTTTCTACCCAAAACCGGATCTGTCCTCTTCACCGGTAATTAAAATTTTAATTATAAAAAGGCGCCTTCAATTAATACATTAATACATTAAATATCAACAGCGCAATTACAAATATGTTAACCAGTGAATTTCACTCGGAATTTAATTTCGGCTTCTACCTAAAGCCGGATCTGTTCTCTTCACCAACAATTAAAATTGTCTTGAATTAATGTTTTAATTAATAAAATATCAACAGAGCAATTACGAGTTTCATTTCGGCTTCTTCTACCTAAAGCCGGATCTGAGCTCTTCATCAGTAATTAAAATTTTATTTAGAAGCGTCTTCAATGAATGTCTTAATTAATTAATTATCAACAGAGCAAACGACTAATCCTCGCAATTACAAATACCATCAACTGAATTCAACTTCGGTTTCTTCTACTTAAATCCGGATCTGTCTTGTTCATAAGTAATTAAAATTTTAATAAAAAAAAGTGTCTTGAATTAATGTTTTAATTAATAGAGCAATTACAAATATCAACAACTGAATTTCATTTCGGTTTTTTCTACCTAAAGTCGGATCTGTTCTCGTCGTCAGTAATTAAAATTTTAATTAAAAAGTGTCTTGAATTAATGTTTTAATTAATTAAATATCAACAGAGTTGACCGAGGAGTTGACTAACCCTCGCAATTACAAATGTCAACGACTGAATTCAACTTCGATTTCCTCTACCTAAAACCGGATCTGTCTTCTTCGCAAGTAATTAAAATTTTAATGAAAAATATCTTGAATTCATGATTTAATTAATTCAATATCAATAGAGCAATTACAAATGTCAACCACTGAATTACATTTCGGCTTTTTCAACCTAAAGTCGGATCTGTTCGCGTCATCTCGCGTCATCAGTACCTAATTAAAATTTTAATTATAAAAAGGTGTCTTCAATTAATGTTTTAAATAATTAAGTAAATATCAAAAGAGCAATTACAAATAGGTATGTTAACCAATGAATTTCATTTCGGCTTCTACCTAAAACTGGATGTGTTCTCTTCACCAGTAATTAAAATTGTCTTGAATTAACGTTTTAATTAACCTCTTCCACCTAAAACAGAATCTGTCCTATTTATAAGTATAATTAAAATTTTAATTAAAAAAAGTGTCTTGAATGAACGTTTTAATTAATTAAATATCAACAGAGTTGACTAACCCTCGCAATTACAAATGTCAAGGACTGAATTCAACTTCGATTTCCTCTACCTAAAACCGGATCTGTCCTCTTCATGAGTAATTAACATATTAATTTAAAAGTCTCTTGAATTCATGTTTTAATTAATTAAACATCAACAGAGCAATTAAAAATGTCAACCGCTGAATTTCAGTTCGGCTTTTTCTACCTAAAGCCCGATCTGTTCTCGTCATCAGTAATTAAAATTTTAATTATAAAAAGGTGTCTTCAATTTATGTTTTAATTAATTAAGTAAATATCAACAGAGCAATTACAAACATGTTAACCAATGAAATTCATTACGGCTTATACCTAAAGCCGGTTCTGCCCTATTTATAAGTATAATTAAAATTTTCATTAAAAAAGTGTCTTGAATTAATGTTTTAATTAATTAAATATCAACGGAGTTGAATAACCCTCGCAATCACAAATGTCAACAACTTCTTCCACCTAAAACCGAATCTGTCCTATTTATAAGTATAATTAAAATTTTAATTAAAAAAAGTGGCTTGAATTAACGTTTTAATTAATTAAATTTTAACAGAATTGACTAACCCTCGCAATTACAAATGTCAACGACTGAATTCAACTTCGATTTCCTCTACCTAAAACCGGATCTGTACTCTTCATGAGTAATTAGAATATTAAAAAGTGTCTTGAATTAAGGTTTTAATTAATTAAATATCAACGGGTAATTACAAATGTCAACCACTAAGCTTCATTTCGGTTTCCTCTACCTAAAGCCGGATCTGTCCATCAGTAATTAAAATTTTAATCAAAAAGCGCCTTCAATTAATGTCTTAATTATTTCATTATAAACAAAGTAAACGACTAATCCTCGCAATTACAAATGTCATCAACTGAATTCAACTTCTGTTTCCTTTACTGAAAGCCGGATCCTCGGCCGGATATGTCTTCTTCGCAAGTAATTAAAATTTTAATGAAAACTGTCTAGAATTCATGATTTAATTAATTAAATAACAATAGAGCAATTACAAATGTCAACCACTGAATTTGGCTTTTTCTGCCTAAAGCCGGATCTGTTCTCTTCATCAGTAATTAAAATTTAAATTAAAAAAGTGTCTGGAATTAATGTTTTAATTAATTAAATATCAACAGAACAATTGCAAATGTCAACAACTGAATTCAATTTCGGCTTCTTCTACCTAAAGCCGGATCTGCCTTCTTTATCACTCAAATTTACTGGAAAAAGGGTTTGAAATGATTGCCTTAATTAATTTAAGCAAATCAGAAGCACTAAATCCAGCGTGTTCGCTCAAAACAAACAATCGATGGACGATAGGCGTTTGGAGAATTTGAAAAGTGGATGTCTCCAATTCCGTTCGAAATTGGGGCAAAATCCTCGAGCGCTACGTTTTGCAGGCCAAAACAAATGAAACGCTTGCCCCTTTAACCTTGACTTTTAAACGAAATCGTGTAGGTAACTGCGAATCTGATTAAATATTTGAAATTTTAGCGCAATTATTTTAGGAGCACTACTAAATTGGGGCCAATTAATTATATAAGTTATTGCCGAGCGGGTGTTTGTTTTTCTTGCGACTAAATAATAATGTCGGCGCGGTTCGGCGAACAGAAAGCGAAAATTAGGACAATTCTAATTCGATCGGACAAATTTAGGTCGAAAACAGCTGATTTTACCTTTCGACCGTGAAAACTCCAAATTTGCTTCACGACACAAACGTAGGTGACGATCACGTCATTTGGACACTGCACAAAAACGCACCGCGTAATAAACGCAGGTGGCGGTGGTTTAAGCAGTAAACCGATACTGGCGTCCTGCGGGGTGAATGTTTACTCACAAAGGAAATACAACAACCCCTATCTACACACTCTCCCGATGCGGCTTCTGCTATTATTTAATCCAACATAAGCATAACCGGTTCGTTTCGGAAGCGCACTCTAAAGACACTGAACCGAAAAATCCCTCAACCACGCGAAACACTCGGCGCCAATTATCTTTCACACCTCAAAAATCTTTACGGAGACTACTTTGATTTCCCTCAAAGCGAGTCGCGTAAAAACATCTGCCAATTTTACGAGCGGTTACGAAAAACTCCGATCAGGTTTTTTCTACGTAATAATAAAATCAATCGACATTTTACTTACATTTTATAAGAGTCACAACTTCGGTGTGGGTGGAATTCATTACGTTAACGCCATTCACCTACATAAACATGAATTAGTATAAAATGCGGAATGGTTGTTTTCCTTTTTGTTTTTACCTTTATAATTTTGTCGCCCGCATGCAAGCCAGCTTTTTCTGCAGCACCACCTGCAAGATGAAAAAGAAAGTTGTAAACATAATTGACATAAAAAATGTGAAATCTCTCAATGAGACATATCCAACGATCCAAATCAATTATGACTGTGCTTATAATACCTATAAAACTATAGTTTGTGATTTTGAAATTTTGCGAATTTGTGATCTTGGGATTTTTGTAACTTTCTGAACTCGTGAAATTGAGTCAGGAGCTCACAAAGTTTCAAAAATCACAAGACATTAAATAAGATTTTGGGATTTTTAAATTCTGAAATCTAAGATTTTGGGATTTTTGGACATTTGGTAATTTATGATTTTGAGATATTAATCTCCACATTTGGGAATTTAAAATTGTGAGAAGTGGCGATCCGGGTATTTTCAGGGTCTGGGATTTTTTAAATTTTGGGATTTTATAATTTTTGATTTTTTTAAATTTTTGGCATATATTAAGATTGTGGGATTTTTTACAGTTTTGGAATTCAACATTTTGGGATTTTTAAATTTTTAAATTTAAGATTATGGTATTTTTGGACATTTGGAGGTTCCAGGATTTTTTAAAATTTCGCGAGATTTATTTGCGGATTTTATAAATTTTAGGATACATATTAAGATTGATTTTTTTTTAATTTTCGGAATTTAAGATTTTGAGAATTTCATATATTAGTGTAGTATTTTTAAAGATATTGAATTTTGATTTTTTTTAATTGTGTGAGTAGTGTGGGAATTTAAAATGGGATTTTCAAACTTTTGAGATTTAAGATTTTGGGATTTTTGAACATTTGGAAATTGTGACTTTGGCATTTTTGAGCCTTGGGCAATTTTGGGAATTCGAGGTTACGGACATTTTAAATTTTGGAACTACTTTTTATGGAATTATGGAAGTAGAGATTCTGGGATTTTTTTTAATTTCGGGAGTTTGTGATTTTAGGGTCTTTTAAAATTTCGGAATTTAAGATTTTGGGATTTTTGGGCATTTGGTAAAATTATAATTACCAAAATTTCAAAAATCCCAAAATCCTAAATTTTGAAATTTAAAAATCCAAAAATTTAAATTCCGAAAATTACAAACTGCCAAATTATTTTGAAATGTTACGAGTAAATTTCAAAAAATCAAAATCCAAATTCCTTAAAAATACTACACTATATCACAGACTCAACATTTCAAAATGTCCAAAATACAGATTCCAAGTAATTAATTTACTCCAAAACTTCAAATTCTCTAAATTTAAAAATCCCCCAAATCTCAAATCTGTAGAATCTCAAATTGTCAAAAATCTCAAACTTCAATAATTTCAAATTTCTAAAAGATCTCACAAAAATCCCAAAATCAAAATTCCCAAATGTGCAAATATCCCTCGAAATACCCTAAACATCTTAATTTTGCAAAAAAATCCCAAAATCTTAATATGTATCCCAAAATCCGACAAACTCCCGAAATTAAAAAAATTCCGGAACCTCAAAATTACAGAATCTCTACTTCTCCCAATTTTAAATTCCTAAAATGTCGAAATTAAAATGTCCATAACCTTGAATTCCCAAAATCTCAAAAATCATAAATTCCCAAATGTGCAAATATCCTGATATTAATTTTCAAAAAAAATCCTAAAAAACCCCCATACTCCCAAAGTATAACAAAAACCCAACATTTCAAAACTCCAAAATCTGAACTAAGTATGCAAAATTTCAAAAACTTAACCAAAAACGTAATCAAAATTCTCAAATTTCAATAATTTGAAATCTAAAAGATTAATTTTCAAAATTTAGTATCCATAACGTCAAAAACCAAAAATCTCTAAACTCCCAAAATCATAAATTCCCAATGCCCAAATATCTTAATTTTCGAAAATTTTAAATGTCCAAAATCCCAAAATCTGACATTTGCAATTTTCGAAATTTAAGGTTTTAGAATATTTCGACATTAGCGAACGTATGATTTTGAGAGTTTTGGTTTTAGAGGTTGTAGACATTTTAAATTATGTGAAATTTTTTTATGGAATTCTAAATTTGAAGAAATTATCTTTTAGGAATTTGAAATTATGGAAATTTGCCATTTTTTATATTTTGGGATTTTGAGAATTTAAGTTTTAACATTTTACAAATTTCAGATTTTGTGACTTTGAAATTTTGAGAATTTAACATTTTGTTATATTTTGGGAGTATGAAAGTGTACTATAGACATTTTAAATTTTGGTGGTTTTAAAATTTTCTCGGAAAAAATGGATATTAAATTTGGAAAATTAATCTTTTAGATTTCAAATTATGATTTTGATTTTCTGAAATTGTGTGTGAGTGGGGGAATTTTGGGATTTTGATATTTTCGATATTTAAGAATGTTGGGATTTTTAATTATGAAATTTAAGATTATGAGATTAGTGGAAGTTTGGGAGTTTATGATTGAGATTTTTTGTATCATTTGACATCTTGGGAATTTAAAATTTGAGGATGTTTGAACATTTGGGAATTTATCAGATTTTTGGTTTTCCAGGTTACGGACATTTTGTGAGAATTTTTTATGAAATTCTAGATTTTGAGAATTTATCTGTTAAAAATTTGAAATTATGGAAATTTAAGATTTTTGATATTTTGGGATTTTGAGAATTCAAGTTTTTAAAATTTTGCAAATTTCAGATTTTAGGAATTTAAAATCTGAGTTTTAGATGAGCTTTTGTTACACTTTGGGAGTATGAGATTTTGAGATAATAAGACATCTTAAATTTTAGAAGTTTCAAAATTTGAATACCTCAAAATCTGAAATTTGCAAAAATTCAAAAAGCTAAATTCTCGCAAGTCCAAAATCCCAAAGTATCAAAGAGCTGAAATTTCGATAGTTTCAAATGTCTAAAAGATAAATTCTCAAAATTTGAATTCCACAAAAAATTCTCAAAAAATCACAAAATCTTAAATTTCGAAAATTTAAACAATCCCGAAAACGTAAGTATATAAAAAATCACAAAATCACAGTCGCTGGATTCATAGACAACTTCATGGTGCGTTTGGAAGTTAAAACGAATACAGCGAGAGCAAGATGGAGATTGTCAATTAAGGTGATCGGCCGCATGCTGCGTACCTTCAACCCCATTTCGACGATCGTCCCTTTTCATCTACCCTCCGATCTTTCCGCCACTTCCAGGAATAACATCTGCAGCTACTCCCATTGAAAAACCGGAACCGAGCGTTCTAAAAATAAACCCTTCGAAATGGACGAATCTCGTGCAATACGCGACGCACGATGACTAATTAAACGTAATTAATTAAAACGGTTACAGGTTGAAGTCACCTGGCGTTTTCTGACGGAAGGTCTAAAAATAGCGCGGTCATCTCTCTTACCTTCTCGAACGCTTTGAACGTAAACGGGATTGTCTCCAGAAACCTTCATGCCGTAACCGTTCTCGTCCTTATTTATAATGACCTGCACGATATGGGCCTGTACGGCGGTGGTCGAATCCATTAGAGATACTGGGCGGCCGGTCACCCCAACCTTCGCCCCCGTCTGCAAAGGGATGGGTATGGGAGACGGCCGCCTCGCGCCAGTTCCGTTTAGACTAGATGAGTTTCTGTAACAAAATCGGCGTTAGAATCTTTTTCGACCAGTTTACGACTTCTTTTACGACCCTACCTACACAATAAGATATACGACAACCCCCCAATAAACACACTTCACTTTTTATTACCTCGCTTTTGAGGAGGTGGTAAAATTGCACATTGACAAAAGGATTCATTACTCCCATTCTGTAGAACATTCTCGAACAAACGCGATACAAATTACATTTCCGACCTTACCCTCCATGCTGGCGCCGTTATGTTATATAACATACAAGAAAAGTAGCCAGGATGCATTCCGCTTCGATTCCCACGATTTGATCGACTTTCTAATCACTTGGAAAGCAGAACCTTTCAAACCCACATATCGGTAGGTTTTCAAGAAGATTCTTAGGAATGGAAACAAAGAAAAATTTCTGTATATCGTGAAGTCTTCTGTAGAACTCGAGTTGCCTAAAAAAGAAAAATTTCTAGGGGGGAAGGGGCGCCTATGACAGTTTAATGCACTTCGCGGTTACAAAAAAATTGAAAATTGTATTGGGGGGGGGGGGGGCAAATTAGCAGGTGGTCATTGTCAGTTAATCAGTGAATTCGATCTCTGAACTCTATTTTGTGCGCCATTACTGAAGTTTTAGCGCCTCGCGTGTCACAAATAATTAAAAATTTATGGGGGATGGGGATCCAATTAGCGTCTCGTGCATATTCAAAATCACTCGAAACACAATTTTGTGCGCTCATAATTGAGTTTTATGCCATTCGCAGTTACAAAAAAAATTGTATAGGGAGGGGGTTCAATTAGCGTATCGTGCATATTAGAATCACTCGAACACAATTTTGTGCGCTTATGACAATTTTTATGCGCCTCGCGAGAAGAATATTGTGGTGGGAGGCGGTGGTCCAAATAGCGTGTCATTTCATATTCAGAATTCACTTGGAACACAATTTTGTGCGCCCATTACTAAGTATTATGCGCTCTCGCGTTACAAATAATTTATAAAAATTCGAGTAAAAGATTGTATGGGGGAGGGGGATCCAAATTAGCGTCTCGTGCATATTCAAATCACTCGAAACACAATTTTGTGGCGTCTCATGACTTGAGTTTTATGCGTCTTCGCGGGTTACAAAAAAAAAATAAATTATATAAGGGGAGGGGGTCCAAATCGCGTATCGTGCATATTCAGAATCCACCGAATACAATTTTGTGCGCTTATGACAGTTTTATGCGCCTCGCGGTGAAAAAATTGTTGTGGAGAGGGTGGTCCAAATCAGCGTGTCATTTCATATTCAGAATCACTTGAACACAATTTTATGTCGCTCATTACTAAGTTTTATGCGCCTCGCGGTTCAAAATAATTAAAAATTTGATGGGGGAGGGAAATCCAAATTAGCGTCTCGTGCATATTCAAAATCACTCGAAACACAATTTGTGCGCTCATGAACTTGAGTTTATGCGCCTTGCCGTTACAAAAATTAAAATTGATATGGGGAGAAGGCGGTCCAGATTAACTACCAGTGCAATTCAGAAATCACTCGAAACACAATTTTATAGCGGCTGAGTACAGTTTCATGAGCTGCATCATTAGAAAATGTAGATCTTCTAAATTTTTGGACAATTTCGGACTGTTAGATCTTATAGACACTGTATAAGTATGTAGCTCGGTATGTATCCTTTTTAGCAACGTTTTTTTGTTACCTTTCATTTACGATATTTAAGATTCATTTAATACCCGCTACGCCATCTGTCTATTTTCTCTTTAAGCTCGTGTAAGTGGGATCAATGTTACTCGTTTTATTTCCTAATTCCTTATTCGACCGCTAAGAGGTCACGCTCAGTAGCATTTTCTAAAGTCACTAGATATAGAAAGTACCGCAATCAACCGCCATTTTTGGGCAAATTTGCTGCCAACTTAAAAAAATGACAAATAAATCTATAGCTGTAATTTTTTTAACCTACATTCATAGTCACGTCATTTATATAAGATCATATACAGATATCTCCAAACAGGTGGAACAATCCCTAACATTAAAGTTACTAGAATCTGGGAACTTCCGCCATTTTTGGGCAAAAATCATGCGTTCTCTCTCTAACACACGAGCCCAATGGATTGCGGTACTTTCTATATTTAGTGACTTTACATTTTCTTTAAAAGTAAATCCCTACCTTTGGATGAACGTTTACGCAAAGATGGCTTGCTGTTCCACTGAAAAAGATAATACACGCCAATCCCTCTCTCTCGACCTTTTTGTCTACTCCCTTTTTTCAGGGCTGTAATTTGGGCTGTGTTTCAAAGTTTCTCTGACGGCTATTTGTGATTTGCTTACTAAACTTCAATGTCGCATTACGTTCGTATAGGTATGTACCGGATTTCCGCAATATTTCGATTACACCGCATATTTTTTAGGGCTCCTTTTCTCTTTTGCTTGCTACTTGTTCTACTTTGCTTTTGCTTTCTAACGTAACTTGGAACTATATTTTTTTCATCAATTGATATTACCGATTTGGAATTTCGCTTAAGTAACCTTTGATTTGTGCTCTTATTCAAATTCTCTTCACTCGTAATTTATATTCAGCATTCTTGCGCCATCTAGGTATCTTGTTTGCAATTGATTGTTTCGCCGAAAGAGGTCGTGCAGATGTTTTTCGTGATATTTTTGCCTATCCCTTCTTTAAGTTTATCTTGCTCGCGCAGTTGTATTTCTTTCCCCGCAGAGAAGTGTCTCCTGCTCCGTAAAGGATTTGTGGCTTAAGTTTTACCCTCGGTTTTACCATATTTATCTTTGGAATGGTTTCTCTCTCTTTCTTTGATGTCTGTGGTGGTTCCATTGAAGCGTTTTTACCTCGGTTTTTATGGATCTGTATTTGCATATAAACAATACAAGGTATGTTAAATTATGACGCAGCATTTTTTTTCATTACGTATATTTTTTAGGGCTTTTACCTTCACTCAACCCTCACAGTGTACCCTCAACCCTCAAGTTTAACGTTCCCTAAAATAGTTTTCTTATTGTTTCTCATCTTTTTTTCTTTAGGAATTACATTGATCTACCTGAGTATTACCTACGGAGTAGGTAGATGATATTACAATCTTTACTTAGACCCGCCATTTTAACAAGATTGACAGTGGCGAAAAACGCGATGGATGTTTGTACATTACCGACTTTGCGGAATTACCCGCCATTTCAGTGCAACCAACAGCTTATCCGAGACCACTTTCAACGATTTTTCCTCGGATTTTTCAGTTACGTTATTTCTTTTAGATCGAAGAATTTTCTTGAATTTAACGTCATGTTTATGTTTTGATACAACGTTGTAGGGATAACCCGTGGTTGATCAAAATTTTGATTTTTCTAGTGAGTCTATTAATTAAAGCTTAATATCCAATTCCCACTTGTTAGACGTTAGACTTTGCTTACGCAATATTTTATGTGTAGCGCAATTCACCCTTTTGTTTGTTTACGTTGTTACTTGTTACAGATTGCCAGAACGCGCCCTTCTGAATTCAAACAGCCGTTACGAGTTTCTACAAAGTCTTGAATATTTTTCTCAAAAAAATTCTTCCATCCCCAAAATGTCTACTTCCAACGTTTCCCATGTTTCCGAAGCATTTTTGAAACATGTTCTCAAGCGTTTTCAACATTCTTTATAATTACATTCTAGAAACATTATCAAATTTTCCAGCACTTCCAACATTTCCATAATATCTTGCACAATTTCCTGCACAAATATTTCCAAACATAGCAACAATTTTGCAATTTCTTAAACATGTCACTAACCTACACATTTCCAAAATTCTCAAAAAATTCGCTTCCCGAACATTTCCAAAATTTCTATAATTTCGCGCAATTTTCCAACGTTTTGAAAATGTTTCGGAAGCATGATTGAAACATGTTCTGAATCATTTTGAAATTTTCCAGCACTTTTCCAACGTTTCCTACGCAAATATTTCAACAACATTTCTGCAACTTATTAATTAGCAAGATTTCTACTAACATTTCCAAATTTTCTACACATTTCTGAAAAATTAAAAAAAAATCTTATTTATTTATTTATTAAACATTTTCAATATACCTACACCTCGACCTACACGCTTCTGATACATTAAATTAATATTTTTTATTTTTGTACTAGTATTATCCTCAGTATTATCGATTATAGCAGAACCAAATGGGACATTCGAAACAGTGTTGCCATCGCCTTTGCCCACGTTATTTTTTTCCAATCATCGTTGCCAACTTTTTTAGGGTGTTGGCCATACGCATACCGGTGATGACGCCACGTTGCTCAAAATGTTCGTTGCTAACTTCATAAGTATATCGTAAATACTAATTTTAATCTAATCACAAGTAAAATCAGGAAGATTTTTAAAAAAATTTGTTTGCGCATGCGTTTAGCTTTGTATTTGCGCATGCGCGTAGGTAGCAAATTGAATAAAATTTGACATGCGAGTGCGACTAATTTTCCAAGAAGAAACATTTGAAAATGGGTGCAGAGATCAGCATGAATAAATCAACTAAGTGGATTAAAGACACTAAACCTTCCCCATGCTTCTTTTAATTATTTCAGGTATTAAAATAAAGGTGAATGGATCAGTTTCGCTCGGTTGGCATGAATTAATTGAATAAATCAATTTCAGGGGTGCCAACATGAGCTAAATGAAATGAAGTTTCCAAGACGACGGCGTCGGTGACGCCCACCACGTGAATTACATTAATACGAGATAAAGAGCACGATTCGTTTAGTTCGAAGAAATTAAAGACATTTAAATGAGGTCAATTTACTCCTCGTGCATAGTAAAGAGTTCACTTGGTCTCCCTAAAGACGAAATCAGGTGTCTCGCCAATCAATAGCGAAATAACGTGATCAGCTTTCGTGCATTTTTACACTTTTAGGTCACATCTATTTACACTAAACGTGTTTATTCAATAAATGACATCATATTTATATAATGCCATGCGAGTAGAAGATCGATTAACGATTGTTAAAAGTTTCTTTTAAGAAAGTTCGCGTACGTCGTCGAGGAAGCGTCAGTTGGCCAATTAGTACTTCCGCAATGCAATTTGCATATATTGCTAATTAGCGCTAGGTAAAGGTATTGCTTGGAAAGCACTTTAAATGCCACATTCCAACGAGACGGACGCGGAGGTTATGAATGGAAATGACCTATATCTTTTGTTTTTATTCCACAAACTCGCACTGCATCTGCATATTCATGCATGTGCACCTTTTTTTTTCTTACGGAAAAACGGATCGAAACAATAGACCGTGCGCGCCAAGGGAATCGCAGACAAAACCGCTTATGTCAGTCCGTGTTTACCTCATTAAATAGAAAAAGAAAAAAGTAACGTGACATAAGCGTATTTGTATCGCACACGTTTCGCAGATTATTTATTTATAATCGTACCACAATTTCCTTTTGCCGATTACAAGCCCCATTTAATCTCACCTGTCAGTCAAATGTGTCGGTATATTATTCATCTTATCCACCAGCATGCACAAAACTGCACACATAAACAATAAATAAAGTGTCCATGAAACCACACATAACTTCAATTTTTAGTCACTCGCGGAGGTTGCTGAATGAAAATTTTACGGAAAAATCGTAGGGTCGACGTTTCGGCACAGTTTCGACGTAAATTTGATTAATACGCGACGTTCCTAAGGCACTATCTTCGCTCGTATTAGGAGGATTTATAAAATGAATAACCAACAAGTGTCAGCCATCTTGGAAACTGAGTTTAGTAGTTAGAAGCGCGGCGCGCACGAATTCTGTGTTGTTTTCATGAAGTTAACAGATCACCGAAATTATTAATCATCGTCAGCTGTGATTTTTCAATTAGTTTATCATGGGGGAAAGGGGAGAGGTTCGTCGATTTTTTTCCATTTCGGAAATGGTGGCACGGACGTTTCTGCCGTTTAAATTGGCGCCTGGTCTTGTTTTGTGTACAGCTTTAATTAACAAAGTCAAACTAATAAACATAATTTGAAGTTTTAACTTCTTATTATTATGAGGGAATTAAGAAGGTTAGCTTCTCCGTAGCCAGTGGCGTAGCACGGGTAGGGCCATTTGGTGAGGTCTAAAACTGGGTTGCAACTTGCAACAGTGATAAATGGTTCATAAGGCACATTAGGCCCCAAACATTTTAAATACCGTTAGAGATTATACACGGTGTCCATTTTTCGAGTGCCACTATGGAGATCTCGCTTATCTTAAGAGATAGAAACTTGGTTAAATTAGGGCAAAGTTGCGAATTTTCGTGCTGAATAATAATCTAAAAATAAATTTATAATATCTTCAATAGTTTTGAAAATATGGCAAAAAATCGAAAATTTCTGATTTTCATTTTTAACTTTTTTATGGTAAACTAATTGTAATAGGCATTTCTAATTAACACATTATAACACTTTTTAATGGAGATTTCGAATATGGCATCCCGTTTTTAATAACTTTCAAGATAACGGAGAAACACGTGGCAACTTTAGTTTTTTTTATGGGCGCCGTTTTGGATTTTGACATTTTGAGATTAGGTTTTTTTTTCTCTTTACAACGATATATCACACATGGTGGTTCAGTATCACATTTTTTCTAAAAATACAATTTTCATTTTCTGCGAAGAGTGCTATGCAAAAACAAAACGTTGTTTTGTTGCGAACAAAATGTTGACCTATTTCAAGCAGTGTCATTTACGTTTGTGCTAGTTTTATTGCTAAAATATTATTTATTCTTATGTATTTTGATCTAATTTGAATTATAATTTTCTTTCAAAACGAAGGTTCAATTCTGTTCATATGAAAATCGAATGTTCTCAACACATCTAGTTCCCTGATGCCAATGCTGCAACCGGACATATGCATCAAACTGTCACAATAAAAGAACGTTTTGTTTTTCCAAAGCACTCTTCCCAAAAAATTAAAAACCGTATTTTACGAAAAATGTGATACTGAACCACCAAAATTAAAAATGGCGCCCATAAGAAAAACTAAAGTTGCCACGTGTTTCTCTGTCATCTTAAAAGTTATTTAAAACGATATGTCACTATTGAAATCTCCATTGAAGAGTGTCTGAATAATCTGTTAATTAGAAATGTCTAGTAGGTACGACTAGTTTATCATGAAAAAATTAAAAACGAAAATCAGAAAGTTTCGTTTTTTTGCGATATTTTCAGAACTATTGATGATATTTTAAATTTCTTTTCAGATGGTTATTCAGCAGGGAAATTCGCAACTTTGCCCCCATTTAACCAACTTTCTATCTCTTAAGGTAAGCGAGATCTCCATAGTGGCACTCGAAAAATGGACACCTGTATATTCTATTCGCAGGAAATAATGAATTTCATTATAAGTTACCTGTGTCACAGATTTAAATATATTATATATATTCCGGATTGAAATCTCGCTGAATTGTGCTCTTATGTATATTCGATATCCTCTCGCTATCTAGGTATATCTTCTTTGTATCTTAGTATAGATTTCTTATTGCATATTATAGTTCTTTGTGTTGCCATTAGAGGCCCTTGTAGTGTTAGAGGTTTCCTTTACTTTCTGCTTCGTTTTGTTGCTAAAGTGCGCGCTTTGTACCTTTCGGCTACAGTGACTACAGAAGACAGGTGGCGACAATACGTGTCTCGTTTTTCATTGGTTACTGAATGACGTGCTATGCGGCAGCCATTTTGTGGCAAACTTTCAAATTATTTCCTTATGGCATGTATTCTTGGTTGTTTCCTTTGATTAGTTTCAACATTTATTTATTGGTTTTGTAATACGTTGTGGAGTTCGAAATCGGTAATATTACTTTCTGATATTTCCTACTCGAAGACAAAGAACCTTTATGCGGGCATAAAGCGGCTATGGCCGTCAACAACGCCGCGGGTCAGAGGGAAAATTTCGGTCGATGTTGACAAATTTACACTCGGTTAATTTATAAGGCGAATATGGCTGTAAATATTTGCAAAATCAACCTTGATAAACTCGTATCTTTAAAGAGAATAATAATAATAACAATGGCCGACTTTCCCACGCGTCCGTCGGCGGTAGACCGGCGGGCGTCCGTCCAAAGACTACCCTGAATCGTTCGGTGGGTAGTAGCGACGAGCAATGTGTACACGGGGCAGGTGGAATCCCGACGACTACACTCGAAGTGTCCGTCTCTTTGCGTTCTTTCGGCTCTTAAACTGGATAGGTCTCGTTTGTTTTTGGCATTAATCAGACAAATCGCTGCTCTAACTAAGAACGGCCCTGCACCACCACCCACCACTCCTCGGTTTACAAAATTCAACCGCGTCCGTTATTTAACATCTATCGGCCTGAGAACGTTAATAGCTATATCATGATACCTTCTATCATTAATTACACACACTGTATAATCAAGGTTGCTATGTTTGAATTTGCCACAACATGGCGGACGGCATCAATTGTCGCCACTGTCTTGTACAGAGTCACTTCCGTACTTAATTCAATCACCTCCTTTTTCTCTGCTTACTGGCTGTTGTAGTTATCTGCAGTGTACTTAACCCCCGGGTTCTACGCTAACTTCACACTGCAAGAACACGGAAATAAAGTCAACTCGGCAACGTTTAAAAATGGCCACCCGAATGACTATTCCCTCCAAAACTAACAAGATCCCGCTTAAATTTGAAAAGTGGCGCGTGATCTAAGGCATGGCCCTCTTACGTTAGTTGTAGACAATGGCCCATATGAATAAAAGAGGGAGCATATGCTTATAAGTACTTGCAAAATTCAAAGTAAAAACGCGGAAGTGCTACTTCACAATGGGCGACTTAGCAGCGCTGCTGAGCAGCAGGATAGGACGCAGTGCAGCGTTGCTAAACAGACCAGTATGAAGGGGCACTCACGAGTATTTACTTTTAATTTTGCAAGTATAAGCATATGCTCCCTTTTATTCATACGGGCTAATGCTTTGACCTGAAGTACAGTAGGGAAGGAACGTAAAATAAAACACTGAAATTGTGACAAGTTTGTTTAATAATTATCGCAATTTTTATTGATTGTAAAAGTTCGGAAATTTAAGTCCAAATAAATTACATTGCAAAAATAAACTTTGAAAATGGTAGTTCACCGAATAAAAATAGAAATAGCCTGGAAAAAAAAAGAACTTACCAATAAAAAAACCAGCCGTCAAATTAATATCAACATCACAAAAAGTAGCAGGTAGACTTCAAGAGGTAACATATAGGTTAAAAACAGGTTTTGTGAATTATGGGTCAAGTAAGCAGGTACCAAGATTCTAAGAAAGGGTGAAATACACAGAATGTGACTCATCTCTGCTTTAATAGTCCTTTTGTTAAAAGCAAGATGGAAAATTACATGGCTTTGTAGGCAAATTCAACTAAAGACGAAATATGTGGAAATTACGAATCGTAACTCATTAATCGCGCATAGATTCTAAACTGAGGAGTTTTGAATATCATAATATCAAATGGTTACAGTTTTTTACCACCCCCGTGACTGCTTCATTCACGGAGAGAATTGTTAGTAACAAACAACAAGTCAGTACATACATCAAGCGAATCTGTAATTTCCACATATTAAAATAGAATGAAAACTTATATGAATGTTACTTCAGGGACAAGACCAAGTAATCAAAATCAATAAACATAAAATAAGCAAACATTACACCAAAAACGTAAACGATTATAAACAATAGGATAACGGTATTAAACATGTCATTCTGCATTGCGGTTAAATCAATTAAAAAAAAAAAAAATAGAAACACAAAAAATATGAAATGCGGCATACAAAACACAAATACGATATATAGAAACGTCCGCCATTCAAGACAAGATGCCCACAAATCACATAGCCCCCGTTCGTGCTTTCTAGATGGCGCAGGCAGCTTTTTCCCACCTAGAAATTGCATGGTCGCCAACTCTCAACAATGTATGTATCCTCGTAAGTTGTATATACAGGGTGGAACCTCTCATATCTCTTCCTCTTCAGTGAAGTTTATGCCGTCGAGTTGATTGATTGCAAATATTTTCTCTTGGTAACCATTCCTTTCTTAACTTCGCGTCTACCTGAAGAGCGTTTAGTATTTTGGCTTTACCACATTTACCTTTGGAGTGATTTTTCTCTCTTCTTGATGTCTGTGGCCGGTGACTCCATTGAAACGTTTTACGGATCTGCGTTTTGCATTTAAACAATTCGAGGTACCTACCTATCTTACATTATTATACGCGGCATATTTTTCTCATTACGTGCAATATTTTTAGGGCGTTAACTTTTTACTCGGAACCGCCATCTTATTAAAGGATTGGTTTTGGCGCGTCAATTGATGGATCAGTTTCTACATTACCGGCTTGTGAAATTCTCACTACATTAACCATGTGAATCCTAACAACACCGACTTCAAGTTTATACGCACTTATTTGTCCCTGAGTTGTAACCGCAAATAGGTATATCACGAAATCTTGGAGATTAACGATCTTGTAAATTGCTCTGATATGCCCGATTTTACTTACGCTACTTGCCTCTCTACGAAGAATTTACCATTTCTGTTAGTTGGATTGCATTATATCATCCATATTAACTGTGTTTTGTCCGAAGGTGATATTTTGTTATTGGTAGTGTAAAGTCGTTCGAATTATTGATTCTTTTTGATTATTAATTACAGTTTTAGAATACGTTTATCCTCCGTTTCAGACGTTAGCATTGCTATTTAGCAATATTATGTGCAGCGCGATTCACTAACTCTTTTATTTAATTGTTGTGTATTGTCTGTTACATATTGGCAGAACGTGCCCTTCTGGACTCAGAAGGTTGCGTCGAATCCCTGATTTGACGTTTGATTACATACTGGTAAGTATTCGATACAATCTAATTGTAATTATTACATTTACAGTTGCTTGAGATTCACTTAACGATTATAGCTCCGTTTTTTTCTGCGGAAGCCTGTTTTGATATCAATAT